GTTGTGATCTCTTAAGAATTAATGATGGTTAAACACAAAGTTATGATTCCTGCACTACATCTATGTTTTATCTCATCTTGGTTCCCCTGTTTTTTGGTGCACCCTGTTTGCTTCATCCTGGTAATGTACTCTCTACTTCTTATATTTTTCTCTGTGATTTAGTGATTAGGACATTGTTATTTTGCAAATGATGCCCTTCTTTTGTATATGTTTCTACTAAGAAAAGATTGCCAACTCCTGTGGCTGCATTTCGAGGTATTCTTCATGTTGTTTCCACGGCTCTTCTTGGGATAACTGCAGTTACTATGAAAATACTATAGCTGGCGAAGAAACAGTGCATAAACTTGCCTTGTTGTTGCAGATTTTTCATGGAGAAAGTTATATCCTATTGTTTGCCTTAGGAAAAGGTGGTCATAGCCATGCTCATAATCATCCAATTGAAAAGATGGCAGTAGTCGTCGGTCTTGTACTTGTACCTGGATTATCACCCTGTGCAACAACTCTTCCAGTTTTTCTTGCTGTTGGCAACTCTTCCTCAATGATGATTCTTGCGATCATTATGCTCCTCTTCAGGTCTTCACCCTCTTTCACTCCACTGTTTTTTTTGCTATGTTACAATAAAGTTTGGAAACTTGAAGTGCAAAGTTTGGAATCACAAAGTTGTGAATCTTAAAAGTACAATGTTTCAAATGACCTAGTATAGTTTTAAATGTGCTAGTATAAAGTTCCTGAATTTCAAAAGAAAAGATTGAAATTTCAAAGTTTTAAACTTTAAAGTACAGACTTTCAAGTGTGCTAGTATAAAGTTTTTGAATTTTAAAATAAGGTTTGAAATTACAAATTTTAAATCTTAAAGTACAAAGTTTTAAATGTGCTAATACAAAGTTTAGAATGTGATGGTTCAAAGTAGCAGTACAAAGTTTATAATGTGATAGTTGAAAGGTTTGAACCTAGTAGTACAAAGTTTGTAATGTGATAGTTCAAAGTTTTGTAAATTCTAAGCGTAAAGTTTTGAACCTGGCAATTCAAAGCTTATAATACGATAGTTCAAAGCTTTTGAACCTAGCAATACAAAGCTTGTAATGTCATAGTTTAAAGTTTATAAATTCTGAATGTAAAGTCTTACGTACCGGTATAAAGTTTATAATGTGATAGATCAAAGTATTGAATCTAGCAGTACAAAACTTGTCTGGTTTCATTTCTTTAATGCTGGTTGCAGGTCAGTTTGAAGTAGGAAGATGATACACTAGTTGATCGGGAATAAAAGTGATCGGGAAACTGCAGCAAACCTATGCTACTAAACTTCAAATAATTTTTTTTTTTTTGCAATTGATGCTCTTCCTCAAACTTAAAACAATTGTGTTTAGGTTGATGAGTTGATTTTTACTTTTCAGCCTAATATGGTGTGTAAATAGATGTTACTTTTGAAATCGGCATTTTTGATGTGTTTTGATCATCTTCACTGTTCCTTGATCAAACTATATAAATGTAGTAAGCTCTCGATTCCAGGTGTAATAGGTTTATGTGCAATGATAACTTTGAATGCCTATTTTATGGATCTTTTTATTTTATTTTTAGCGGTTCAATCAAGTAATCCCATAGACAATTTTATAGAGCATAAGATAATATCAACTTTGTATATACTGGTTTTGCATCCATAGATGTGAAACCATCCCCCCGTCCGTTTCATCCCCACGTACCCACTATCTCCAAAGAGAATCCAAATACTGGGCCGAGAATCTAGACAGGAAAAGTGGACCGAGAATCTAGACAGGAGAAATGGGCCGTGAGAATGGGCCGAGAATCTAGACATGAGAAGGGAGAAAGAAATCTGCTTTCTGGCCCAACACACCACGCTAACCCACCTCCCGCATGTCTAGAAAACGCACGATCTCTTCAGGTTCCACACGCGCGTGCGTCGGTATCTGTACGAGCGCACGCGCGCTGAGCAAGAGCGCTCTTCAGGTTCCACACACGCGCGTGCGTCGCTACTCTTTGAGCGTCGGCGACGGCCGCTTGCGTGAGCAGCGACGCTTGGCACAAGCACCTGCCGAGACGTACAGGGTGGCAAAAAAAATCTAGAACGGCTGTCTAGCGCCTCCCTAAGAGAGGATAAGCGCCCCAGCTTGTCGGTTGTCGCCCCCTGCTCATGTCTTCGCATTGCGACGAATTTCTGGCTTCATGGTGGTTTATTAAACAGGCCAGCCAGTAAGACATATGTTAACGGGCTCAAATGCTAACGTGGGCTCATTTTCTTCCCCTCTGAGGTCTGCTAAGTCGAAGACTGACCCGTGAACAATCTCAAACCAGGCATTGGGCCCAAAGCTGCTGCTGGACCTATCCCTATCTCAGCCTAAGACGACCGGCGACCAGTAAGAATCCACGGCATTTCCTCACAAAAAAAAAAAAAAAAAAATCCACGGCACAGAACCGACAGCAGGTTCTATAATTTGTTATGCAAGTACTGCTAGGATGGAATTGTCACTTTTCGCGTCCGTATGAATCATTAAAAAAATACGAGGTAGGAGAACTTTACTATCAAGACTAGGACCCATTTAGATCCTAGTATGAGTTAATAGTTAGCTACTACAATTAGCTCTAAGTAATCCAAACATCCACAACTAATAACCCAACTAATAGCTTAAAACGGTGCATTTAGACAATAAAGAATTATTATCTGGCTCTTAATACTACTACTACTAACTATTAGCTAGAGGATCCACACAAGATTCAACTAATAGGTCAGCTAATAGATTAAAATGCTATTATAGTATCTTCAAGAGTCTTTTTTAAGCTCGTTTTCTAAATCATCATTTGGAGACCATTTAAATAAAAATTATTCTATATCTTTCCGTCCTCAATAAATTTTCTATGTCTTGTGCGCATTCTAAGGAGCCAATTCCACTCTTTTTTGGCTAATGAGAAATTCGAAATAGAGAATATCAATATTTGGAGATCTAATAAGGTTGTTGAAGGTATTTACCTTGCTTCCTAAAGCTAGCTGCTAAAAATCAGCTGTCGGGATAACGGGCCCAGAATTCTTGAAGAAGGCCATTTGTAACCAAGAAAGAAAGAAAACTTTTTCTCCCCTATCAGTCATTTACGCCTACGCAAGCTCGTCCAGGTCCGGCCGTTAACCGTCCCAAACTTTCGCTCAGTTTAATTCCCACAGAAAGTAGAAATATATAATTCAATCACGCCTATGGACATCTCTGGCGAGATCGAGCAGGAACACACACACCTCTTTTCTGTCTGCTTGCCCAGATGGCCAGATGCCATGTGCAGGTCCGACTTTCCTGGCCGCCCGGCCAATCACCTCTATGCTTCGGAGTCACTCATGTCGCGCGTGTTCTAATCCCCTGACACCGTGCAGCCACAACGCAAGGCTCTGAATTCTTCTGCAATGTACTAATCAGTAATCACCTCCCTATGCAGATTCAGCATTCATCTAGAGTACTCACCCATCGCGGGACAATGCAGAATGACCTTCTTTTTGTCATTCTGCAAAACTCCAAACTCGCAAATATTCGGACAGATCAAGTGCATGATGGAAGGAAAAGTTGCACTAAGCAGGCAGGTCAGGCCATGATTAGTTGTGCAAACTCGCATCACACCGCACCAACCGCCTTTCAATGACGACGATCCCCTCCACCGACGTCCTAGAAAAGCAGAGGCCACAAGCCCAAAACGTTGCGTGAATTGCACATCACTACTCCCCAGGCAGGGGGGCTTGACGTCCAGAGGCTAACACTCTTAGTAGTTCTAGTATAAATAAAGTGATCACATAAACTAAAAAATATTAAGACTATTATTCACATAATACAAACTATCACTATTTATGATTTTTTTTTCATCATACCTCGCCTTTATTCTCCCTCTTTTTTTTTAGCATGAAACACCTTCTCTCTCGAGCATATATGACATATGTAGAGCACCTACTTTTTTTTTTATCTGATAATACGTGGCTCTTGGGGGCGCGTTGGGGAAGGCCACCCAACTCGGCAAGCATCAGTACTAACAGTAAGCTTAACAAAATGCTAGTAGATGACAACAGTACAAGGACAGAGACAATAGTATGGTTCTTTCCAGCAACATCTGCAAGCCAATTTACGACCTGAAGAGGCCTAAAAGAAGCCCTTTTTTTTTGGTGATATCGGGCTTACTGGGTCGAGTGCAAGTTTCATATGATAAGCAGTTGTGGATCCAGCCTCGACACCAACCTAACCCCAACCACAAATTGGCGTACGGAAAAATGCAAGTTTATATGGCCAGCCAAATTGTTGTGCTACGTATAAAGCTTGAATGGCCCTGTTCGTTTCGCTGAAAAAACAAACCAAAACACTGTTCTGGCTGATTTGTTGTGGGAGAAAAACACTATTTTGGTTGAAAAAACAAATTAAAAAAGACGGATTATAAGAGAAACGAACAGGGCCCGCCCAGTGTCAGCTGGCAGCATTTTTGAGCAGCAAGGCACTGGTCACCTAACGAGACCAAATACCTCCAGATCTAAATGAGATCATACTATAATTCAGACAGACACGAAGACATAATCGTGCTGAATTGGTCACGCTTCCCTTTTTAAGTTCAACACACACATCAGCAAATGATTGTTCTAAGTTGACAACTACTAGTAGAAGCCAGTGCTGAGACTGACTGACTTCTCACCCGGAGAAAAACCTATGGTGTAACACTTAACTCACTAATGCAGGGAGAATTCTGTGAAGTGGAATCCAATCGTGTAGAGAAATGAGTGGCGAGGATGGAAGAAAGAGGTGAAAAGAAGTGTTCCAAGCCCTATGCTGTTGCAGACGATGGGTTTCTGTCTGCAGCCTGTGCTACCACAATTCACAGGAAGTCAGGAACTGATGGAAACAGGAATCTGCAGACTTTGGTACTGGCACCTTGATCTTCACCGGAAGCACACACGCGCACAAAAAAACAAAGTATGGATGTCATGTATCCCTAGTCAGACGAAGAACCATCACCGAGGCTCAATTGCCTCACATAGGAAGAATCGAATCCTTTCCCCTGCCACTCCTGCTGCTGAAGCACGACCTTCCAACAGACGGCAATCGCTTCGCTGCATCCGGTATTGCACGGCCGCTGCGGCCGCCGCCGTCCTTGCTGTGCTCCCCGTGGCACCGTCCCGACGAGCCTGACAGGAGGCCGCTCTCCCGGGCCATCATCAGCTCGTCCTCCATGCTGGCCTGCAGCACGTCGGCGATGGACATGCGGCCCTCGCGGTGCGTGTCGGACAGCGACGACCACGCCCTCACCGGCAGCGCGCAGTCCTCCTTTATCTCGGCAATGCCGCTGGCCTCCTCTGATCTCCCCGGACAATCCTTCGGCGCCGGGCGCTCCTGGCCGTCACCGCCGTTGCCGCTGACCACATTCTGATTCTGACTCTGCGGTACGCCACGCACGGGCTCCGAGGAGTCGTCGACCGTTAGGATCAGCTCGGGGTTGCTGTCTCTCCGGTCGCGGTCCTCCCGCGGGGCGCCACGGCGGTCCGGCTCCGGTGACACCACCCCGACGGTGACGAAGGCGATGTTACAGCGGCAGAGCGGGCAGTTGGAGTGCGACTTGAGCCACGTGTCGATGCACGGCAGGTGGAAGGCGTGGCTGCACTTGGGCAGCAGCCGGAGGCTCTCGCCGTCCCGGAACTCGCCGAGGCAGACGGAGCAGTCGGTGCTGTCCACGAACCCGTCGCCGCGCTTGTACTTGCACACCGTGATCTTGTTGATCAGGGTCTCGTCCAGCCCGTCCGACGGCACGGCGCCCCACGGCTCCTGACTCCGCGAATCGCCGCCGCCGCCGGCGTCGCCGCCACGGCCGCGGCCCCTGCGGGGACCGAAGAGCATGTTCCACAGGGAGCTGAAGGTGCCGCAGTACTTGGAGATGATGGTGTAGTAGCTGACGAGGAGGAAGGCGCTGGCGAGCACGCCGATGATGGCGATGACGAGGGGCGAGAAGGTGGGGCCGGAGGAGTCGTCGCCGCCGCCGGGGCCGGCGATGTCGAAGGCCGGCGGCGGGGGCGGGAAGACGAAGTAGCACCACTGCTGGCAGTACATACTGCAGAGGCCCTGGGAGCAGTCCCTGGTTGTCTCATAGGGCACCCACGTCGGCTGCGGCCCAGCAATTGTTGCAGGAGAAGACGACGCCACTGCCGCCATGGAAGACGGAAGCACAGTGACAACAACCAACCCCGGTGGGCTGAAAGGGGAGGAAAGGATAGAGAAACTGAGCCCCAACGTTGGGTAAATCTCAGCTACCTCTATCTCAGACAATCCTCCTGAGACTGCCAAGTTCTAGCAGCGCACTGGAGCATGGCATCTTCATGAGTTTCCGCTCCAAAATCCAAATAATTGTAGCCATATGATGGAAGCAAGAGAGGTAGGTGCCTGTGCTCGTATCTATGCACTATGCAGCTGAGCTTTCCAGGAGCTGGGAAATGTTGAGCGGAGGAGGGGAAGACAGATCACGAGATGCTGCCAGTGTGAGGCATGAGCCTCAATTGGTGCTACGGAGTACAGAGCAGTGAGAGGAGTGAGAGCCAGACCAAACCAGAATGTTCTTGCGTTAGAAGCTGACAGGGAGGGGGAAGGAGAAGATGGTAGTGGTTGGGGGCTGGGCCCGACGCTGCCGCTCTGCTTTCATTTTCTTTTGCTCTCTGTGCAGCTGCCGTTCATGGCCTTCCCTTTACCTAGTTTGTCTCCTTTGGCAGACAGGAGAAAGGGAGTGCTTGGATGAAAGGACGACAGAAGTAGAAGTGAGTGAACTCATATGCTTATACCTCCCTAAAATGAAATAAAACAGCTGTGTCAGTAACAATGCAATTTATTCCTCATTCCTCATCCTAACTTACATGGAGGTATGGAGCAAACAGAGTCATTCAAATTTTGTCACTTGACAGGGGTGACTGAAACCATCCTCCAACCATGGCACCTTTGTTTCAAGTTGGCAGGCAGTCAAAAATGGTTTGAATAATGTGGTGCCCAGTGAATAAGACTATACCAGACCAAATATCTTGATCAAGTGTACAAGGTACTTTCGTTCTTTGTTTTGAGACTGCACTTTAGTCTGTCAAAATCAATGGGAAAAGGAAGAGTTTTATCACGACATATTCAGTCATACAGCATTCACGAGAACAAAAGATTGAAAATCATACTGTTCACATTAAAAAATTAGTGTCTATCACAGGACTAACTTTCATGAAAGCCAAAGATGCAAAATATAATACGATGTCCATTTCTATCAATCATCAGTGGCTACACAGATATAACGACTGAGGATCTTGAAATCGCTCTCATATTAATCTAGGAGCAGTTTTCTTCTCGCTTCAAGTAAACTTGGACAATAGCAGCCAGTCCGCCAAACCGGCTGCTTTCTTTATATTTACTTCTCCAACACCTTTCCATAATCCTGAGGCCTGACAAGACGACGAATCACTAATCGCTCTTGTATTGGTGCAACCACATGAGAGAGCCTTGCTCACCTAACTCAACTTCATTTGAGAATCAAGTTAACCATGTCTAACACAGTAACACAGATCTGGACGCAAGTATATACACTAGATTGCATGTACATTCTCTGACTGCATGTACAAAGTCACGCCCAGTGACTCTGCGCATTCTAAGTTGGCACAGAGGTCAGTGATTACCTCGATTATCTACAAATAGGTCACTCCTCGTCCTGGATGTAGCAACTCATGGTAGGAGCCAAATTATCTTCGGCAGGCAGGACAGAAACACTGATGAATATATAGAACTAAGCAACTAGGCCACAAGTTAATTTAATGTAATGGACCAGATGACCAGATCGTCAAGGCCCAACTGATTTAATAGGCAGTGTATTTATTCTCTTTTGGATGGCATGAAGAAATCATTGTCATTCAGTGGGGTCAGCAGTGCGACAGCAACAGGAAGTGAAGATGACGACAGAAAACACTGGGGACATGTGGACCAAGGGAGATATGCAGTTCCATTCATTTGAAAGATTAAGGCCACCTAATTTTGGGTGCTTTTGAATTTGGAAGGTTACCAGCAGAACACTGTCAAATGATGCTCAATGTTTTTGCATACTTATGTAACCACCACGGAAATCAACCCTCAGTGTGCATTGCATTAAAGATTCTGGTGAGTAATGCCATACAGGGTGCAAATAAGCCTGTTCGTTTCGGTTGGATTGGCTTATAAACCATGGCTGAAAGTACTGCCGGCTAGTTTGGTGTGAGAGAAAAATACTGTTCAAGTCATGGCTTATAAGCCAGATACGAGCAATCCAGCCGAAACGAACAGGCTGATAGTGGAAAAGAGAAGACTGACAGCGTGCCAAAGAAAATGAACTGGATGGAACTATACGAACTAGCTGAAGACATAATAAACACATGAACAACCTTAAAAAAAACACATGAACAATTTCAGAAAAGAACTATTAGAAAAAGTAATTGTACTCCGGTAATATCTAATGTATCCAGCCAGGTGATATCGAATGCATCCTATGACAGCATGCAGACATCTTTTGTAACCCGTCGTCTATTTCTATTATTCCATCCATACCATTTTGTCCTTTCCTTCTTTTCTTCACATAAAGATCTTATCAAGAATGCATAACTCTGACTATAGTTTGTATTTCTCAAAACGAAAAAAGGTGTGCCCTGAATCAAGTGCTGAAAATTCGATTTTTCAAAGTTCACACAGAAAACAGAACCAACTTGTTATGACCGGCGTCACATATACCAGGCGGAGGCCCATTAGTGGCTGAGCTTGTGCGCCGGCATTAGGGGGCTAACAGCCCATATTATCTATTATTTAGCCTATTTATTAGATATATCCCTTATTTGTGAAAGCTATATATATGGCTTGTAAGACATTTGGATAATTAAGCAGAAACAATCTATTGTTTCCGGCTTCCCCTGGGAGCCGGGAGTTCCTAACCCTAGCCGTATCTACTGTAGCTACGCGAGGGTTAGGGCTACAGCCGCAGCCGCCCATACTCCACCACAGCGTCCAGCCGCCGGCAGCGAGGTTCCCAGCCTGCTCCACCTCCCTCTCATCCCTACAGACTCTGTGATCTACGCGGTAGGATCCGTAATCTTATCACAACTAGTGTCAACTAAATGTGCGCTCCCACACCGACAGAATGAAATCAGGAGTTCCTACAAAGGTGACAATTATGAGCTTTATTTTATTTGCTGTCATATCATGTTGACACACATAATCAACTATGTTAATGGAAGATTGGTTGGGGTAGAAAGATATCACATAGAATTGGGCGGCAACAAGAACATGAGGCAAAGGATCATCTTCCTGTCTTCTTTTCCAAAAGCATTAGTCACATTAAATTAATAAGGATCAGATCATTCACGATTTGTGCTTTCATGTTAAGAAAAAGCAAACTATCCTTGACATCTACAAAGTAAACTAACCTCATCAGTTCATCTTTGTAATGTAGATTTTAGGTTTGCATCAGATCAATCTGACCCAATCTTGCTCTTTGAAGTCTGGAAAAGCAGCTGTTTTATTCTTTGAATGAGTTAGAGATGGCCTCCACTCCATTCCCCAGTACCCTTCTTAAGAGCTGACAACATGGAAAACGTTACGGTTAGAGTGAATTCATGTGTGCGACAAATAGCCAATTTATGCATAATGTTGCTTTACATGTAGTGCTCTTTTTCCCCTATTTTTTCTGGACAGATCACGATATATTTTTTTCTTCTCGAACACACAAGAGAGTTGTGTATCTTTATATTAAGAAGATGAAAAAGGGGGTCAAAGAGCCCCAACAAAAGAAAACAAACCCACACATGATAAATATCTTATATGTTCCATACGAAATCAAACATAACTGGCACAACTCAATAGGACCTTGGCGGTGTAGCATATACTCATCCATTGAGATGCAAAAATCTAGTCGAAATTTCAGTGAATAAAAATGCCAAAAATAATGTCAGCCATGTCAGAGCCAATAAATTTCACCTAGACAGAAATGTGGAACAATCTTGATAGTATATATAGGGCACAGGGGATAAATCAATAGCATCATGGTACTGTAAGGATGGAAAGAACCAAAGAAGTTATCAGATCCGTGGGTTAAATCATTGCTTAGCTGGAAAAGCAAGGACAAGGGCTACCAAGTTCAAGCTTTCCATAGTTTTGATGCCATGAGGTGGAAAAGGGCAGATCCCACTTGCTGCCCTTACTTTACACAATAAATAAAGTTGGCACTACGGAAAGAGAAAATGTGGAGCTATGTCGTAGCGGCACATGCCAAACCGTTTCAGCAACAGCAACTATTCGGCTCTTCTAGCCGTTTTCGAGCAAAACAGGATAACACAGGTAACACGAGTAGTGGTGAGTCAGCCAGTGACAAGTGAGTTACAGGGTGTGGTTCAAAGAATAGCATGCATAATTTCAGCAGAAAGCAAACATTGCACTATGGCAGTATGTTAGAAGCAAAGGTACAATAATTACAGCAAGTTGGTAGTAACTTGTGAAAAATGGGCACTACGATTGGATTTGATCTAAAGGTAAAGCTGCAATGTACGCACTTGATCTGGGGCTCTGGGCTTTCCTACATATGGGAACTGTCAGCCTTTCATGGGCTTACTGACCAAGACATCGGGTTCTGAAATTCAAACTGAAAGCATCATCTGCATACTGCAAGAAACATCATTCTGAATGCGCGCCAGATCTTTTCTTTTATATTTGATATTGCTACAACAGAGTGGCCGTTCCAGACAGACACATAAGAGCATAAAATATTTGACAAGCGGATAACAGAAGAATCTGCCCTTCAGCTATCCAACATTATCAAGCCACGTCAAAAAACTGCTTCAGCAAAGCAGAGGAAGTTGTCACCTTGGCTACCATAAGCTTAAAGTTGCTGGGAACAAAAGCTGGCTAGAATCAATTCTTCAGCTATATCGAGCATGATCAAGCCACACAAAAGTTATGCTTCCATTAAAGCTGAGGCATATACGCGATGCGGCTACCATTTGTCTAGCTTTCCACCGCCTTTCTTAGTTTTTGGATTCAAGTTTGCTAAGCCATAGTGTGGAGTGGAGACATTTCCTTTGGAATTAATTAAAGGTGTATACTAAGATGGCCGACGAAAGTGCAGATATTATGTTTTGTTTGTCAGTTGTGAACTTGCAGCTTAGGAGTCTAAATGC